GGCTTCAATTGTGTACCTTAGTCATGCGTAGGGCCTTTTGAATGACGTAATTTCCAAACTGGTCTTCGGCTAATTCCTGGGGTGCTTCATTGCTCCTCAATATTTCCTCAACAATGGACAACAACCAATTTTCAGAAATCTCCATGCATTTCTCCACAATGTGAGAACCGACTTTTTTCCGTGCCATCTGTACAAACTGGCCACGTAGGCACATGAATATCCTCCGATGCACTTCTTTGTGATTAAGCTTGAGCACGTTGTGCAGAACATAGTTCCTGAAAAAAAATAAAAAAAAACAAGGCCACCCCATGATTCGGACATTTTACAGTAAAAAAATTTCATAATTTTAAGGAGGAAACTTGAAGTTTTATATGCGTGTGTACCCGTATGGATCATCACAGAGAATGTCTGCCATATCTGCAATACTAACAAGAAGCCTCGACCTTTGTTCACCGGGAATCGTGCTTATGCATTCGTTCAACGATATACAGCCCACTTTGTGCATAGCAAGGTAATGGCAGTTTTCTATTGCGCTCTCGTAGAGTATCTGAAGTTGTATAGTTCGAAAATAAAATAAAATCTACAGTGGCATCCTCTTCAATGAGAACAAAAGGTCAACTTAATTCTCAATGTTCTTTTATATAATTTTTCCTCATAAAGTATATTAACACAACTCTCTGCTTAACTTGCCATCAATCAAGATAAAATTATTATATGGTCCGGGTTACTATATATGACCAAGCGCAAAAATGTGGAAACTTGTATACTCAGGTACCTCGTTTGGCTCATGGCTGAAAAGGATGAAGCACGTCTGAATCACTTCTCTCGCGGTATAATCAGTCATTATTTCCACGAATCTCGTCGACAAAATCCCTGTTATGGAAAAAGCGTGATACGTCTTCTTGAGCTTCCTTATGAGTTTGATCATTGAAACTACCCTGTTAAGTAAAAAAATGGTAACTCATCAGCAATCAGATAGTAGTGTTTTACGAGCAAAAACTAGAAACCAATGCAAGTATATCAAGGATAAAGAACTAAATATCATACCCTTGTTTACAGAAGACCACCTCTAGAAACGGCTCTCTGTCTAACCAGTTCATACGCAGGAGTTTGTCAAAGTGCTTCATTTTGCAGGCATCGAGAAAGGCTTGGAAAACCGGATGCATTTTTGTATCAGTCATTAACTCGACAATGAAGCCGCTAATAAGTGAACCGATTAGTCTGTCTTGCTGCAGAGAGTATGGCCCTTTCAGGAAATCGCGAATGCGCTCCCAGTTGAGTGCTGGGCCCCCTTTATCAAAGTCTTCATTTAGAAAGTAACGATCGGTGTAGGATACATTTTGTGGATACGAAACAGAGGGCTCTGAAGAGCAGCAGTCACCGTCTACTTGAAAAAAAAAGTACAGAATAAAATGTGAGGAAAATCAATTGAATCTTTGACACAAACGTGAACAAAACAAATTATGTCTGTTAATCAAGTCTGCAACTTCTCGATTATGCCCACTTTCATCGTTTTCATCCCACGAACGAAACAGAAAAAGGGCAACCAACAAAATCAATGTACAGATTTCTTGACAGATAAAGCATTTATCCATGGAACAACAAAAAAAGTTAAAACTTTCTCAGCAAGAAATATACGAAAGCCCAAACAACGTCTGTAAGTTCTGCAACTGTTCGACTACACCCACTTTTCCCCCTTTTCTTGTGAAGACTCAACACAGACAAGCCAAAAAACACAAGTACAGATCGAAAAAAAAAAAATCAAGAAAATCATATATCGAACAAAATCTTTTACTACCTCCGCCGGCAGACAAGAGACTGACGAGAGAACTCCAAATGTATTCTTCATCATCCATAGTACTTGACAGCAGCCATCGTTCCCGCCAAGTAAGCTTCCGAATTGGATTATTGATTATGTGGGATTTCATATCACCGACTCCATTTTCGTCTCCGAACCCAAGATTTTGAAAAGATCGAACCATGGTATCTTCGTGAGGATCAGAATCGCCGGTAAGGTTTTGGCCGGAATTTGGGGTTTTAGAAGTCGGGGACTCCATGCATGCAGAGAAGGGGGAAAACGGCTGTTCTGATCAAGAGATGATTGAAGAATGGTGAAAAATTAACAGAGCAAGTTTTGACTGTTCTTGGATTATGTGCTTTGAGGCTCCATATATGTGCATATAGGCAATGCACTGTGTGTGCGCGTATGGGGCATTGGAGTCTCATTCACGGTTCTGCCATAACCAGCCTAAAACAGGCGCGTGGTTAACGGGCCTTGAACTTGGCCCATGATTTGAATGGCCCGTTTTTGGCCACATATATGTACTTTTTGAGCCACCAGGCCGGTTCAAAATCGGAACCGGAATTGGAACTGGCAATTTGGTCCTATTTTGTTTTTGGTTTCTTAATTTTTTTTTTTTTTAATCTTTTTTAACTTGGCTCGAAACTCCTGGTTTACCGAACCTGTCAGTGCATATGTTCGCCTGGTTCAGGAC